AGCAAATTTTAGCAAATTTTAGACTTATTTTGACTTCAAAACTTTCTAAGAAAATGCTTCAATACTTATTTATTCTAATTCTACTACATTTTTCTGTTTAAATTATGAGTGAGCCCCAAAATTCCACTTGCATTTGTTTTCTTCTTTATTACATCACCAGATTCACCACAGTCTTCATCTCTGAGAAGTCTCAAATAACAACTTCTTTACAGCTTTACAAAACAGAATGGAACCTGTGTCAGTTCTAATTTGTAAAACGATAGCCTCAGAAATTCTTTTCTCCCTGAAAACCTCCCCAAACCAGTTTGGTAGGAAAAAAACACTATCTGTGCACACACACACACACACACACACACACACACACACACACACCGGGTTTAGCAATTAGAGGAGGGAAAACTCCAGGTCTGGCTGACTGGACTCTAGGTTGTTTCCGTGTAGCTGTTGTGGACAGCAGAGGTGAGTTAGGTCCAGAGAGGAGATCTGTCATCGCCAGATGTTTGCAGGAATGCTCCATGTACTGCCTCTGTATTCTCAACTCGCTATGATTTGCTCCCTCTACTCATCCGGGAGATCTCTGCAGAGGTCACCAAAGGCCTCTGGACTGACATTTTCCATCTTCCTACTTTACCTTTCTGCAGAATTTGACACTGTGACCACCCTCTGCTTTGTGAAATATTTTCCTTCTCTTAGCTTCAGTGACATAATGCTTTTTCTTCCCTCCCCTAAACACTTAGGCCCAGTTTTTTTCTCTGGCTGCATGCACTTTTCTCACCAAGATATTATGCACACTCACCGAGTGTATTAGTTTGCTAGGGTTATAATAACAAAGTACCATGAACTGTGGCTTAAACAACAGAAGTTTTTTGTGTCACAGTTCTGGAAGCCAGAAGTCCTAAATGAAGGTGTCAGCAGCTCTTGTTCCTTCTGAGGCCTGCAAGGGATGGCTCTGTTCCAGGCCTCTCTCCTTGGCTTGTGAATGGTCTTCTCCAAGGCTCTTCACAATGTCTTCTCTCTCTATGCATGTTTCTCTAAGTTTTCTTTACCAGCACACCTATCATCTTCGATCAGGGCCCACTAATGACCTCATTTTGACTTGAGAGTCACTGTAAAGATTCTATCTCCAAATACAGCCACATTCTGAGGTACTGAGGTTAAGATTGCAACATATCGATTTTGGCGGGACACAATTCAACCATGAACACTTAGTCCTTAGGCTAATTGTTTTCTGTTGTATCTCATGTGTTTATTGTAAAAGTTTGGTAAAACAGTTTGTCTTCCCCTGGCCAAGTCCTTTTCTTGCTTGCACCTATCTCTTCCCTTGGTTTCTATGACATCACTTTTCTCCTGCTTTGCTCCATCTCTCTAGTTCCTCTGTGATGTCTATTGTGGACTCTTCATCTTCATCTCCTTCCTTAAACATCAAGGTTTTCCAGGTTCCATCCTTGGCTTCTTCTCACTCCATAATCCTCTCTCCCCAGTGATCATACCCACAATGAGAATTTCAGCTTTCAGCGGTACTGATGCTGAATACTGCCAATATCTATTCCAGTCTATACCTCTTTTTTGAGCTTTGGACCTGTACATTCACTTGACTCCTTAGGCATCACCATCCAGCAGCTCCACAGGATCTCAAATGCTGCATGTTCAAAAATGAACTTACCTTTAGTCCTCTCTGTCCCCTGGCTCAAATCCAATCTACTTCCTATATCCTTCATTTTATGAAGGATGCACTGTGTACTTAGATTTCTCCTTCCAAGCTCCACATCTTTCAGAAACCAAATCCTGTCAATCCTTGCGCTTAAATATCTTCTAAATGTATCCTTTCCTTTCTTAATCCCCAATAACTGCCCTGGTTTCATGTCCTCAACACCTCTCCTTGGATTATTCCAATAATTTCCTAAACGAATTCCTTGTCACCAGAATCAGTTCTGCACTCTGCTGCCAGAAGAATCTTTTAAAGCAACTTTATCAGATCTCTGCTTGTTTATTAGTCTTCAAACTTAGGCTGCAACTTTATGATAATCACAGCTGGATGCCCAGGCTCTGGATGGTCTGGCCCCTCCTAGTTTCTACCTCATTTTCTGTTATTACTATCTGTCAGGCATCTTCTCACAGCTATACTTGCAGTTCCCCCATCTGTCTACTTAATCCCCCAGACCTTGGGTCTTTAAACCATGTTGACCCTCTCATGAAATCCATAGCTAGTGGTCTATAAAAGCCTCAGCATATCTCTGAGCCATCCCTTCTGTACCATCTCTGATCCAGGCTTCATCCCCAAACCTAAACTGACTCTCTGCTTTCTTAGCTTCTCTTCCTTTCCAGTACTTGGCTTCTCATTGTGATCAGAGTCACTCCCTGGAAGTGGTTGGCCTTGTCCTCAGACTCTATTTCTGGTCAACATCACTGGGTGCCAGCCTGTCATAACAGATTCAGAGGGTATTACACACTTCTGTTGGGAAAAAAAAACTTCCTGAATTCTAGTCCTAGCACTGGCATCAAGTAATTGTGTAATCTCGGATGAATCACTTCCCCTCTTTTAATCCTAATAGTAAAACAACTAATGATAATTACTGATTACTTATCAGAGCAAGGTTCTAAGCACTTTATATGGGTTATCTCTCACAACCACCTTAGGACTTGTGACCTCATTGTGCAGTTTCTTAACTGAAGATCACAATTTTAAGCAACTTGCCCAAGGTCACACAGACAAAAAGCAGGAGAAGCTAGGATTCCAGCATCAGCACTCTGGTTCCAAAGCATGGCCACTTAACCACTGCTCTCTTCTTCCTCCCAATATGCAGCTCACTCTAGAGCCATGGCATCACAGCTGTAAAATATGGAAGTGAGTGCTCTGATCTTTCCACATAGCACATTCTATGAAAACAGGCCTATTAGTATCTAGTGAGTATATTCTGAAGAGGAGTCAAGAGAAAAAAAAGTTAAACACAAAGGGCCAAAACTCTAAAAATGGAATTCCACAAATTATGAGTTATCACATAGTACTAGACAGTTATCTGCTTTTCTGAGAGAAGCCAAATATTGATTTCCTTTTTTTAATTATCTAGTTTTATTTTTCTGCCTGCAGATGTAATCCAAGTTCAAAAGCATAACGTAGAAAATAAAAATCATCTGTATTTCTGATTAACATTGTGTGTGTACAGGTTTCATGTATAAAAGTAGTAGCACTGTATATTCTGCTTTTTTTTCTTTAGCTAAAGACATTAAAATTGTTCTATAATAGAATTTTTAATGATTTCATGATATTCCATTATGGATGTTCCATAATTAACCAATTACCTATTTTAAGACATTTAAGTTATTGCAAAGATTTTTACTATCAGAAACAATAAGAAAAATATTTGTGTCTCTAAAATTTTACAAATATATGATTATGTCTTTACAAGAAATTTCTAAAAGTTGAACTTCTTGGTTAAAGAGCATATACACTTTTAAAGACTTCTGATTTGTAACACCAAATTTTTGTCCAGAAAGATTATATTACCATTAGCAAGTAATAAGGGTATAGATGTTCTTCCCTCCTTAGAAACATTCTACTTTTTAAAAAGAAATCTGCCATTTTGATAAAGAAAAATAATATTTCACTGTTTTAATTAGCATTTCTTTTATTTCTGATGAGATTAAACATTATTTATTGGTCATTTATATTTTAAAATTTTCTGATCATTATCAATTTTCAGGCACTGTGAAAGAGTGAATCTTAAGAACAATATAGACAGTGGTCTGTTTCTAAAGATGTTAGGCAATGTTAACATAATTAAATGGTATCACTTCTATAGTTCCACAAAAATGATAAATTCTGAATTTTTTTTCATACATGTGTAATATTTCAAAACTCTACTGCAAGGAAAAAGACTCTTTACTTGGAAATTAAATTCTAATCTTCTGAAATAAAATCAGCAAAGCTGTTTCCCTAATCAGTAAGCACTGCATAGACGAGGGTTATGTAGATTTTCAAAGAAGAGTAATAAATAATGACTGATCCCGCCTGCCCCCATCTAAGAGGAGGGTGGATGTGACTGCTTCTAGTAAATCACAGCTATGGGGGTATGCCACACAGGGAGAAACCTTGTGGTACAGAGCAAAGCAGCAAGAAAGATTGTAGCTTCACTCCTTATGAGCAGTGTGACCCTACCAAGTTATTTAGGTTCTTTAAACCACCGTGATCTTATCTATAAAACAGAATGGGATTATCCTTCCGAGAGTCATTGTGAAGATTAAAATCCAGTGACATAATATGAATAATGTTATGTACATCATGTTTGTTCAATACTGGGAAGCTAATTGAATTAGTACTTTACTTCTTTCTTCCTCCTAACTCTCCTCAGAATCTCTCATGGCCTGTTTGTGACTCATTTTCTACATTCTGCATTTTCTTCTTACACCTCATCTTCCTTTTCCTTTCCCTTGGCCTCTCTCCTTCTACCTTCTCTATCTCATTCCTCTGCCCCCAGGTCAACCTGACCAATCTTTTGTGTATACAAAATTTACTCTCTAGCCTTTGTAATGCTTATACAGATGTGTATAATTTTGTTCTGATTCTTAAAATCAACAAGTGCAACATTTAAGTATTTGAAAAAAAAAGTTTAAAAAATCAAAATCAATAACTTCAAAAACCCCCAATATCCAGTAAACTTTTTGGTATCTCAAATAATTCTTAACTTTGAGTGGCAGTCAAGTGTCTTGGTAGAAATAAGTTTTAAAAGATCCCCTGCCTTGGAGCTACAGGATCAACCTAGAGTGGATGCTCTCAGATGGGGAGAATGGCTTCTAGGACTTCATCTGATTTTTCACAGCATAGATTGTTTTTTATCCCAGGTGTTCCTGCTCTTGAATTGTGCATAACTATACCCTTAATACATATTAGCATTCTTGAACAGAAAGGACAGAAAACAGAGCACCATCCTCACCGTCAGTCTGCTGCTGAGGTAACTTAACTCTTAATTGCCTTTCAAAGAAAAATAAGAATGATCACTCACCATCTGAGATACATCTTGGCTGCATCTGCTGTTGTGCTAACGTCTGGGAATGACTCTTGTCTCTGTACTAGTCTGTGTTAGAGTGGAAGGAGGAGCAACCCTTTCTACGCCTGTGAAAGCCTTCCTCTCAATGACTGTATATCCTGTAACTTTCTTCAATAAAGGCTGTTCCTCTTTTTTCTACAGATTTTGCCAACACTTGTGGAAGAAATTTAACCCTTTCCTTGCACTTGAATTCACTGATCTGCATCTAAATATATTTTTAAAAATAATTCGGTGGCTTGAGTTCCAGACCTGACATTAAGATGAGGCTGACTAAAATTTCCCCTCTTGAAATTCCCTCAAAAAACCTAGAAAATAAAATAATTAAAAAGAAAAAAACCTCTCTGTATTTATAAATAGAATAAAGAATATCTTACAGTTTTGGTAAGAAAATAAAAAGTATGATTTATTATGGATGTGGATTGGGAGTGAATAGCCTCTTCCTACTGATTTCCACCACAGAGATAATAGAGGATTCACTGAACTTTGAGGGCAAGGGAAAGTCCTGTGAGAGCTGCACAACCGAGGAGGTCAAACAAAAACTACTGCTTTTATTATTTCATTCTTACTATAGACAAAAATTAAATTGGTTCAAGAGAAATTTCCTGAAATAGAGGTCTGGGGGGAAAAAGCAGTATCCTGAAATTAAGAGATGTACTTGAGAGAGAAACATAAAATTCCTCAAGTGGAAACTATTTTCAGAAGAAAATAAATGTCCACATGTGAACTGAAAGGACATTTTGAGCGATTTCAAAGGATTCAGATTGTCAAAAAAAAAAACTTTAAGAAAATGGATTTTCCTCCAGATAAATCATGATGAGCATTTAAAGTTACAAAGATATTGAAAGCTAAAAGCAAAATGAAAAAGTAGGATGTCTACAGAGAAAGATAAAACAGCTCAATCTCTTACTAAATCCTGTAAAAAAAACCCCACAAAACAATATCTATAGACTTTTGAGGTAGCATTCTTTACCTAGAGAAGATACCAATTAAGTATGAAGATCAATAGAAGTGTATTATCAAGCAGACAGAACAACAACAAAAATACTGCTACAAAGATAATCTTCCTAAATAAATTACTTGAATATGTGCTCCAGAATAGTAAGAAATGAATTAATATAAAAAGCATAAGGATACAGAAGCTATTGTCTTGATTGCCTGGCTCCAAAAAAGGGAGAAAAAGAGAAAAATGAAAGGGGAGGAAGGGCACAGTGAAAGCAAGTGCTAAGGTGGAAGTTTATAGATGTAAACACTTACTTTAAAAATTAAGAAAGATCTCCATAAAAAAAATCTCAAATCAACAACTTAACTTTACAACTTAAGGAACTAGAAAAAGAACAAGCCAAACCCAAAGATACCAGAAGGAAGGAAATTGTAAAGATTGAAACAGAGATAAATGAAATAGAGAATAAAAAAGCAGTAGAGAAAATCAATGAATTCCAAAATTGGTTCTTCAGAAAAATAAAACATATTAACAAACCTTTAGCAGCAAATAAATTAAGAAAATAAGAGAGAAGACTCAAATTACTAACTTAGAAGTGATCAGTGGTTCAAAGAAATCAAAAGGAAAATCAAAATAGATTCTTGAGGCAGCAAAAATGAAAACACAAATTACAAAAACTTATGGGATCTAGCAAAAGCAGTTCTAAAGGGAAGTTCATAGAAATAAATGCCTACATTAAGAAAAAAGTAAGATCTCAAATAAACAATCTAACTTTGCACCACTAGGACCTAGAAAAAACAAACTAACCCAAAAGTCAACAGAAGAAAGGAAAAAATAAAGATTGAAGCAGAAGTAAATAGAAATAGACACTAGAAAGACAATGAAAAGACCATAAAAACTAACAGTTGGTTTTATTTTTAAAAAGATTTTATTTATTTATTTCAGAGAGAGAGAAAGAGAGAAAGAGAGCATGAGCAGGGGAAGGGGCAGAGGGAGAAGGAGACTCCCTGCTGAGCTGGGAGCCCAAGATGGGGCTCAGTCCCAGGACCCTGAGATCATGACCTGAGGTGAAGGCAGCTACTTAACTGACTGAACCACCCAGGCACCCTAATAGTTGGTTTCAAAATGATAAATGACATTGACAAGCCTTTAACTAGATTAAGAACAAGAAGAAAAGATTCAAATCAATAAAATTATAAATGAAAGAAGAGACATTACAATTGATACCACAATAATACAAAAGATAGAAAGAGAATATGATGGACAATTACATGCCAATAAGACAGGCACATGAAAAGGACCTCAACATTACTAATCATCAGGGAAATGCAAATCTAAACCACACTGAGATACCACTTTACACCTGTTAGAATGGTTAGAATCAAAACAACAAAAAATATTAAGTGTTGGTGGGATGTGTAGAAAAATGAATCCTTGTGCACTGTTGGTAGGAATGTAAATTGGTGCAGCCACTGTGGAAAATAGTATGGTGGTTCCTCAAAAAATTAAAAATAGAAATACCATATAATTCAGTAATTCCACTACCAGATAGTTACACAAAAAAAGGAAAACATTAATTTGAAAAGATCTATGCATTCCTATGTTTATTGAAGTATTATTTATAATAGCCAAGCTATGGAACCAACCCAAGGGTCAATCCATAGGTGAATGGATGAAGAAAATACAGTATATGGGGATCACTAAACCACTGGGTGGCCCAGTGGTTTAGCGTCTGCCTTCGGCCCAGGGCGTGATCCTGGAGTCCCTGGATTGAGTCCCACGTCAGGCTCCCTGCATGGAGCCTGCTTCTCCTTCTGCCTGTGTCTCTGCCTCTTTCTCTCTCTCTGTCTCTCATGAATAAATAAATAAAATCTTTTAAAAAATACAGTATATATGCACACTGGAATATTACTCAGCCATAAAAAGGGATGAGATCTTCGCATTTGTAACAACATGAATGGACCTAGAGGATGTTACACTAAGTGAAATAAGTCAGACAGAGAAAGACAAATACCATATGATTTCATTTATATGTGGAATCTTAAAAAACAAGACAAATGAATAAACCAACAAAAAGCAAAAACAGATCCATAAATACAGAGAACAAATTGATGGTTGCCACAGGTGAAGGTAGTGGAGGGATGGGTAAAATAGATAAAGGAGAGTGGGAGATACAGCCTTCTAGTTATGGAATAAATAAGTCACAGGAATGAAAGGTACAGGTTAGGGAATATAGTCAATGGTATTATAATAATGTTGTATGGTGATAGATGAGAGCTACATTTCTGGTGAGCATAGAATGACATATAAACTTGTCAAATCACTATGTCATACACCTGAAACTAAAGCAACATTGTGTGTCAACTACACTTCAATTAAAAATGAATAAATAGATAGAATTGGCAAAAATAATACACACCAACAAATTGGATAACTTAGAAGAAATGGATAAAATCCTAGAAACATATAACCTGACAAGACTGAATTACAAAGAATAGAAAATCTGAGATCGATAATGAATTAGGAGATTGAAGCAGTAATCAAAAACTACAACCAAGAAAATGCCCAGGACCTGACAGTTTCATAGGTGAATTCTACCAAACATTTAAAAAGGAATATTGCCAATCCTCCTCAAACTCTTCCAAAAAACTGAAGAGTAGGGAACAATTCCAAACTCATTTTACAAGACCAGGTTTACTGTCATTACAAAGCTAGATAAGGGCACTATCATAAAAAAGAAAATTATAAGCAAATACTCCTGATGAACATCAATGCAAAAATTATTTTCTAAAAACAATTTTATTATTTATTTATTTGAGAGAGGGAGAGAGAGTATGAGAGAGGGAAAGAGAGAGAGCACAAATAGAGAAGAGGGGTAGAGGGAGAAGCAGACTCTTCCCTGTGGAGCAGGGAGCCTCACGTGGGACTTGATCCAGGACCTTGGGATCATGACATGAGCTGAAGGCAGATGCTTAACCAACTGAGCCACCCAGGTGCCCAGATGCAAAAATTCTTTAAAAATACTAGCAAACCGACTTCAGCAGTACATTAAAAAGACCATACGCCATGATTGGGTAGGATTTACCGCTGGGTTTTGAGGATGATACAACATATGCAAATCAATAAACATGATATACCACATTAACAGAATGAAGAGTAAATATCATATAATTATCTTAATAGAAAAGCAGAAAAAGCATTTGACAAAATTTAACCTCCTTTCTTGATTAAAAAAAAATACTCTTGACAAATTGGTGCAGAAGAAATGTACCTCAACATAATAAAGGCCATATATGACAAGCCCATAGCTAACATCATGCCCAATGGTAAAAAGCTGAAACCTTTTTCCCTATGATCAGGAATAAGATAAAGATGCTAATTCTCACTGAAATCCTAAAATTTGTATGGAACCACAAAAGACTTAGCCAAAGCTTTCTTGAGAAAGAAAAACAAAGAGGGAAACATCACACTTTCCAATTTCAAAGCATATTACTGGCTTCTTGCATAGCTTCTGGGAGAAAAAGTCCACTATAAACTTGTACCTTTTCTTTAGTAGGTAATATTTTTTTCTCTGAGTATTTTCAAGACTTTTTCTTTGCTTTTGGTTTCCAGCAGTTTGATTTTGGTATAGACTGAATTGTGTCCAAAATTCAAATGCTGAAGTCCTAATCCCAAATACCTCAGAATATGACTATTTTTGGAGATATGGGCGGTAAAGGGGTGATTCAGTTAAAACGAGGCCATTATGGGGGCCCTTAATCTGATCTCACTGGCCTCCTTATGAAAAGAGGAAGTTTGGACACACAAAAAAGACACCATGGATGATATCCATGGACAGAGAGATGACCATGTGAACATAGAGCAAACAGGTGGCCATATGCAAGGCAAGAGGAGATACCTCAGAAGAAACTAACCCTGCCAGCCCTTGATCTTGAACTCGCAGCATTCAAAACTGTGAGAAATAACTTTCTGTTATTTTAGCTACCCAGTCTATAATATTTTGTTATGGTAGCCCTAGGAAACTAATACAAATACGATATGTCTAGGAGTGGGCTTTGTTTTATTTTCTTTTTTAGTATTTTCCCTTCATAGTGTTTTCTGAGC